CCCCAAAACCCCAAAACCCCAAAACCCCGCACAAGTCATTATTTATTGAAATTATTAATGAATAGAGTGTTGAAAACCCCACGAGGACTAAGTAAGCCCACACAACCATGCTTCTTCGAGAGCAAGGTCTTGTTCTAGCTATGAGCTTACATGGAGCCTCAGTCTTTTGTTTATTCTGTGCATTGTGTGAAAGGTTTTACATATTTTTTACGTTTGAAAATTTTTGCTTCAACTCCATAAAAACAAGCATTTTAGCCAAAATTTATTTAAAAGTCTATAAAATTTAAAGAAAATTTATAAACACAAACTGAATTCTAAAGAATTTGTTTTCTGAGTCAAGAGAATTATAATCTTAAGTGAACTTTCATTGTTCGATCCGAACATTACAAGAAAATTAGTTTTTGAAATGGCATGTTTGTAAATTCAAGTTTTATTGTGAAATGATCATATTGTTGCTTAAAAGAGCTAAATATGGAGTAGGAGCTAAAGAATGATAGTTCAAATTATTATAGAACATTGCTACAACTATTTCAAAGCCTTAGACAGTAACAATAGCAACATTACTCTCTTCTGCCATGGACTTTATGGATCCAAGCATGAGTTTGACGATATCGCCAGTGACGAAAGACTTCTTAACTTGACCAATATTTATGCCTTAGATCATGTGAATCACCCAGAATTTGCTTTTGATAATCAGGCCGAGTATATTATTGATTTCTTGGATAATATCAGCAGCACGGACACAAAGGCCACACTTGTGGGACACTCAATGGGAGGAAGAGCATGCATGAGGACAGCTCTACTGTATCCAGAAAGAATCAAAGCTGTCATGGCATTAGATGCGCCTGCAACAAGCTTTACTGATATTCCTGGATATATGGATCAAACATACGCTCTGGTAAAATATTTCAAGGATTTTGACCTCTCTAAATTTCCCAAATTGGATTCCATCGAAGAGCATATGAAAGAAAAGTTTAAATTCGACGATGTATCTCTTCAAAGAATCATGAGGAACTTCAGATATACTGACGAGGAAGAATCCAAGATTACTTGGAGAGTAAATCCTCAATATTTACATGACAATGTAGAGGCAATCACTTATTTTGACCATATTGGAACATTTGAAGGGCCAGCTAAAATGCTGATTGGAGGTATATCAAATAGATGGAAGCTTGAACACTTTATTGATAGCTTCCCTAATATCAAAGAAGAGGATATTATTCCGATCCCAAATACGAGCCATTGGATACACACCGATGACCCTGAAGCTTTCATCACCAATCTCACAGACTTACTAAAAAGAGCAGAATAATGGAAGAAATCACGATCAACTATTACTAATTTAGCTCATCAACTAAAAATCGCCATGGTTTGAGACTTATTTACATCTCTGAGCCACTCAATATTAAAAAATTAATCTGGGGTTTTGGGGTTTTGGGGTTTTGGGGG